CGAGAACAAGAAGAAACTTGCGTGTTGCTCTTTTAAATAATCCTTGTAAGTTTACATTTACAAGTCGAAACGTGTTAAGACAAACAACCAACAAGCACAAATTTTTTGGGTCAAATATGCAATAAGATTAAATCAGTCGTAGTGATAAGAGCAGACCAGTCCCTACAAGCAGCACTCGCTCACGAGTATGACGGATGAGCCAGCCATCACTGCGCTCGACTATATTTTAGGGAGCCCAATGACCCAATGAATGAATGTTTTACATCGATAAGCTGTGTGTTCTACGGGACACCCGTAACTATATATTGTAGATTAAATAGTCAGCCAGTATTGTTAACAATATGCATTCTAAGAAGGTACGGAACCCTACGTGCCTGCAAGCATATTTCCGAGTACCTCAACGCGATATTCGAGGTTCGTATCTGAAAATAGATAAGAAATTCGTATTCCTTTATTCATAATCATTTTTTATTAGTTCTAGTAATTAACAGATTTTTTAGAGAACATATAAATACTGAACTATGATAAATTTATTTGTTTTTTTTTTTAATTTTACGTTTGATACTTTTTAAGTTTGCCGTTGGAATTGAAGGGCGCAGTTGGGGCGAGTAGTTAGTTATATATATCAATCTTATATATAAAATTCTCGTGTCACAGTTTTCGTTCCCATACTCCTCCGAAACGACTTGACCGATTCTCATGAAATTTTGTGAGCGTATTGAGTAGGTCTGAGAATCGGCCAACATCTATTTTTCATCCCCCTAAATGTTAGGGGAATCCACCCCTAATTTTTTTTTATTTTGAGGCAAAACAATGTTTCCCTGGACAGCTAGTATATATATATATATATATATATATATGTAAATGAAAGTCATTGACATTCATTATTTGAATTTGGCGCGCATTAGTAGTTGAATGAAATTTAAACGTCAGAATGACATTTAAATTTCATTCAACTAAATGAATGAATGTCATTTGTCGAGGAAGTTTCTAGATGTTTCTAACAGTTTTGCTGAATGATATGATACTACAGGCTCGACAAGGGAAATTATTGGCAGTAGTCTGTATTGAGCCGCCTAGGTGGCGCTTCCATCTCTTGTCACCAAGCCTTTGAAGCCAGGCATCATCGCAAACCCTTCGACCTTCCATTACGCGTTTGCGCCAATCTGCTCTACTGATTGCAATCTTTTCCAGCCACGTGGTCTATTTGAAATGTGGCCATGTCCCGTTTGGCGCAATCATTACAGCGAATGCAAAGAGAGTTATGTATATATGGTAGATATAATGATCACGCTAAAATGCATACCTATATTATATAATATATGCTACAACAATGGACTTAGTACGACAGTGTGGAGGAATCTCTTTCATTGGTGTTTATTTTAGTGGTGCGCACAAGTGATTCACACATTCCGGCTTCAAGTTCTGCTGCACTTGAATGCGAGTAATGCGAGCTATCAACCAATCAACGTTTTGTAGATAATGTTGCAGTAAGGAGATATTACTTATTACATTTTTGACTAGATGTACACGCGACTTCGTTCGCGTGGAATTTAACTTTATTTTTCATATTCAATTACAAAAATCATTTATTTATGTGGGACATTTTAGCCGCTTATAAACGTCAAGTTTTTTACATTGTAATTTTAATTTTTTCTCTAACATCCAGTTCGGTATATAGATCCAAGATATTTCTAAAATAAAAGTAGCTTAAGTTACTGTTTATTACAGTAGCTACCTGCCAATAACAGTTCCGTCAAAATCGGTCCAGCTATTTCAGAGATTAGCCGGATCAAACAGACAGACAGACAGACAAAAATTGTAAAACATGTTATTTTGGTGTATGTGCCGTATTTATATTCATATGCATGTAGTAAAAAACGGTTATTTCAATATTACAAACAGATACTCCAACTTTATTTATATGATTAACCATTTACCATCAGATGGGCCGTATGCTTGTTTGCGACCACAGTAGTATAAAAAAAATGGTATACCTAAAATTATACAATACAATTAGTATCCAAAGAGTTGAGTGAACGGATTATAATAAACTCATGACTGATGACCATATGTGGACCGACAGCTGCTCCTAGACCATACCGGGAACAATCGATGACCTCCCGTGACAAGCCAAGGTCATTTTATTGTGTGCCACTGATTATATTAATATATACATTACGTCATTACCAATAGTTGATACATAATTAGATATATTACATACTAGCTATATACCGCGGGACATCCCGCGTGAATTACGATGAAAGTATGAGATGATCCTAATCTTAATAGTAGCTTTATGCATGCAAAGTCTCAACCCGATAGGTTTGAAATTGACAAAGTTTCATACAAACTTTCAACCCCTATTTTATCCCCTTGGGGGTAGAATTAATCAAAATCCTTTCTTAGCGGGTGCCTACGTCATAACATCTACCTGCATGCCACATTTCAGCCCGATCCGTCCAGTGGTTTGGGCTGTGCGTTGATAGATCACTATGTCAGTCAGTCACCTTTGAGTTATCTTATATATAAAATTCTCGTGTCACAGTTTTCGTTCCCATACTCCTCCGAAACGGCTTGACCGATTCTCATGAAATTTTGTGAGCGTATTGAGTAGGTCTGAGAATCGGCCAACATCTATTTTTCATCCCCCTAAATGTTAGGGATAGTCCAACCCTAATTTTTATTTTTTTTTATAAGGCAAAACAACGTATTATTTCATAACAATGATCTCGTACTTCCCTCTTCTCTTACGCTTGCTGTGCCCAACAGATAACATTATGGACTACAAATCTTAAATAAATAAAAATAAATAGACTATGACACAACTCAACTAGTTTTGAATTGTTTGTAATCTACTCGTATAATGTTCCAATTTAAATAATGTAATAAATAAATAGCCCTGGACAATTAACAGCGTCATCTAGTCCCACGGTACGCAGAGCTTGTGTTACGGGCACAAGACAACTGATATCAATACTTGGATATTTTTTGTATAGAATAGAATAGAAAATCATTTATTCAAATAAACTTACATTGAAGCACTTTTGAATAGTCATTACATTTTTTAATCTACCGCTCATTCGGAAAGCTGTCTCATCACAAGAAGAACGAGCAAGAAACTTGCGTGTTGCTCTTTTAAATAATTTAATTATTACATAACATTTTTAAGTTTAAGTGTGTGAATACAAACCACCAATTAGCACTAATTCAATTAAATATGTTGTAAATACACACATAAAGACCCATACAAACAATTATACTCATGAATACAAATACAAAATCATTTGCGCCGTGCGAGGAATTATTAGACACATTGATTTTAGAAGAAAATGTCTAATCCATCACATTTAAAATAAGTAAACAGTTGATATGTAACGTGCAACTGTATCAGATCGGGAATAATTATATTTCCTGCTGTATATAATCCACTGAATATCTCCAACAGGACTCGAACCCGCGACCACCGAGGCCCTTAATAAAAATGTCAACAGTGTATAAATTGTGATAATTACGTTACAAAAAAATTGCATATACGCTACCAAACTGCGACTAGCCGAAATGTGAACTCTACACTTCCAAGCTATGTCCAAACTGTATTCAACGCCTGATGATGCCTCGTTCAGAGGCGACACACGTGTCGCGGTATGAGTGTAGACTCAATAACGGTCGGAATTTGATCACCATTAGGGAAGGTCGTAACGGTAGTCAAGTTTCCACACCGAATATTTGTGGTCTCACACATGCTAATTGTAGCGGAATTAAACAAAATTAAACAAATCCATTAAGTAGTGATGACCCTTTAATATTTAATAAAAAAACAGCTGCAAAGCAAGCTGCTTAACAGCTACTTTTGAGTTTCACTTCAGTCACTTTTCAGTTACCTGTATATTTTAACTTTTAAAGTTACGGTACAAACATTAATAACTACTAATTTTTTTTTATTAATTCACCCTGGACAATTAACTCAGCGCTGTCTAGTCACACAAAAAGTAGAGTGTGCAAGTAGAGTGAATGTTATGGGTACTAGGCAACTGATATAAATACTAAGATTTTTAATACACACATAACATACATAGAAAACACTCAGACCGATACAGACAATCATACTTATGAATACAAAGTGTTGGTACCATGCGAGGAATCGAACCCGCGACCAACGGAGGTAAATCGGTGTATCCATCAAATAATGAAATGGATTTCCGAAAAATAAAACTGACTTTATACGTATAATTAGTAAAAATCACGGGATCTTACCACGTTTTATATTTATTTGCTGAGTTCCCGATATTTCGGTAGTGATCACGGGTAAACTGAAGAGCAGCGGGTAGATGAAAATGAAATCTTTTTATGGGCAGACATATGTGTCTACCTTCACACGTCTTCGTTTGTTGCTACTACTGGAACTCGCTCGATATTCATCTCGGCAAACTGTACTCACAGTATCTTTACGTACATTTAATACACTTTCCGATAGTGTTTTTTGTATTTGTTTAATTAAACCAATCACTGGATTCCAGGCATTAGAGAATCTATAACCGTCTTCTCGATTGAAATTTTTATATTTCTGTATTTCAATGGCCTCTCTAACCATTCTTGGGATATAATGCCGTTCTGATGTTAACACTTTTGGTTGGTGTAGTTCAATCCAGTGATTGGGTCCCGATCCCAACAAGTGTTCCGCTATGGCTGATTTACGTGGATCGTTGTTTTTAATAGCTTTTATATGTTCAGCAATGCGACGGGCTATTGTTCTTTTTGTCTGTCCGATGTATGAGCTCCCACAACTACAACTTATATGCTCTTCAGTCTACCCGTGATCATGGTGGCTGAAACACTACCGAAATATCGGGAACTCAGTAAATAAATATAAAACGTGGTAAGATCCCGTGATTTTTACTAATTATACGTATAAATAATGACCGCGTCAAGTTTAAAACAGTATAAAACTGACTTTATATAAATCTGGTAAAGTAATAATATATTCTGGTCTTCCACAGTGCGAGGAGTCCATGTCAGCAGGAGACATGTGCGTGTCAGCGGCAAGAGCTGGACCTTCGGCGCGCTGGCACCCCGCCTGCTTCGTCTGCTCCACCTGCCAAGAACTACTGGTCGACCTGGTCTACTTCTGGAAGGACGGGCTGTTGTACTGCGGCCGCCATCACGCTGAGAAGATGAAGCCCAGGTGTTCAGCTTGTGATGAGGTGAGATTTTAAGCGCCTAGGTCAGTGATTTCCAAAGTGTTCTATATCGACCCCCAGGTGTCCATGCCAAACTACAAGGGGTCTACGACACCGGTCATCTTGTTGTTTTTACTTTATGTTTTTAACACTAAACCTTAAAGCTTCTGGGAGGAGCTTGGCTGGCTACTTTAGTAGTCTGGCTCTGCACGCACAACGGCCCGAATGAGAGGCTAATTGCGGAGACTGGAGTCCAACATACATTACATTACATTACACTAAACTTTACTACAGTTAGAAATTTACAAGAAATCAATACCAGGTAAGAATGGCAGGTCTAACCAAAACCGAAAATTATGGCAAGGGGTCTACGACACACAAAAGTTTGGGAACCTCTGGTCTAGGTGATCACAAGATATGATTGTATGTCACATTGGTTACATACAGAATAATATTCATTCATTCATTATCTATTAAAAAAACCTCTTCAAAATCTGTTTCGTAGTTTTAAAGATTTAAGCCTACATAGGGACAAATAGCGACAGCGACTTTGTTTTATACTATGTAACTAGGTATTCGCCCCGACTTCGCACGGGTGTACATGTATTACATATATATATAAACTTTCCTCTTGAATCAGTCTATCTATTAACAAAAACGCTTCAAAATCCGTTGCGTAGTTTTAAAGATTTAAGCATACATAGGGACAGACAGACAGCGACAGCGACTTTGTTTTATACTATGTAATGATACGAGAATGCATGCAATAGTTGCATGTTATATGAGGCAAAAAGAGCTCGGGTCGGTACAACTTTTGGCAAAGTTATTGTCAGTCATAAATCAACATTGTTACAATGCAGAATAATATAATGGAATATATTAGGGTGCAAATTAGGGTGAAATTGCAGTATTGGATAGCCCTCATGGCATTTTGGCGATGGTATCTCGTATCTGTTCCGGCAGGATATAGGTTCATCGCCAATCCATTTTGGCAATTCGTAATTGTAGCCTTCTGGTGTGTGAATTAAGGGGTGACTTTTATATTACATACTAGCTGTGCCCGCGACTTCGTCCTGGTGCTATTGACCAAACCTTGACCAAATAAAGAAAAATAATCTATTATCTAATATCAAAAAACGCAATTGAAACAAAGTTTCATCGTTGTACCTTCGAAAATGATGATTTCCATATAAACTTACTTGTCCTCTTTCAACCCCTTACAATCCCTTTTTCGCATTAAAAACGTACTTTCTCAAGGTTTAGACTATCTGTGTACCAAATTTCATTTAAATCTGTGCAGTAGTTTTGACGTGAAAACGAGACAGACCGACAGACATATATATTATATACTAGCTGACCCCGCCAACTACGTTCCTTCTCAAAATTAAATATGTCTAAGAATTTTCGAAGTGTAGTTACGTAAGAAATTTCTGAACGCACCCTGTTTAACAGGTATCAGCCGTTTGTAGCTACTACTTTACATGCAATTTGTTCATATTTTATCACCGTTCAAACCTTCTCTGGACTTCCACGAATATTTCAAGACTAAAATTAGCCAAATCGGTTCAGCCGTTATCGAGTTTTAGCGATACTAACGAACAGTAATTAATTTTTATATATGCGATAATTGTTAATAAAGTTCAAATATGTATAAAAATTAGGAATTATTTGCGGAGAGGCCGGCTATTTTTCAGCAGCCGACTGAAGGAGTCCTATAGCTAAATTCAATTGTCGCTCGCCGGGCTGGCTTCATGCCGTGACTTAAAAGTCTCCTCAGAATGTATTTTCTCTCTACCATCCGCAAAAACCCCATCACATTAATTTCAGAAATGTAATGTAGAATAGAGATGGCGCTAGTGAGCCCCGAGCATAACACAGTGGCGCCCCCAATCAACTTTCTAACGACATTGCGGCAATTGACATTTTATTGCATTAATAATCATACCAAAATCTCTAAAAACAAATAAAGCAAATAAATAAAAATAAAACAATATTTATAGATTTTTTTTTTAAGATTTTGGGCTATTGTCAGATGCTTGCCCTTTTTCAAATTTGTTTACTTAGACCCGTCAGGAAATCTAATTGAAAGATAATCTTAGGAGCGTTGGTTTGTATCCCCTCGGAATAGAGTTCATAATATCCATAGAAGTTATTTCGTTTATACATGAGTGGGCTACAACCACATAGAATATGTAGTGGCGTTTCCTCTTCAGCTTGTAAAATCCGCAGAATAAAAACTATAATATCATTGCAATCGCTGGTTTTGGCATTCTCAATTGTAGTTACACAAGAAAATCTATTCACAAATGCAGTAATGTATTGAAGCATACGTTTTAGGCCTTCTTAACGGCGACGCATTAGTGGTAATACGGGTGTTACTTGATAAAATTGTCTGTACTTCTGATGGCGACGGTTACCACTTACCATCAGGTAGACTGCCACCTAGTTTTCCATTCGAATTGCATATAAAACGTATAGCTACTTGAAAATAACGTACATATAGTTATAATACAGTGTGCAGGCTTTCAAGGCGGAGTGCAACGACCTCGACAGTTGTGCATCAATAAATCAACGGAACCCTTCGCTTTCAGGGTTCCGTGGGCAACGGAAACGTCGGCCGGCCCTACACGAATCGCCTTGAATAAGTGTACCACTGATAACGATATTTGGGTCGAGGGTGACTCGAACGTTTCAGCATATCAGTATTTTATAAGCCTTACATTAAAATAATTTATGTAAAGCCTTAATGCCATTTTTTGGCTAGCTATAATAGCCATGCCAATTTAAGTTTATTTTCCTGTGGAATAAATCTCAAATTTATTTATTATTTATTATTTATTAGTGACCCGTCCCGGCTTTGCGCAGATCCATTACAAATGTTTGAATTTCTCGGCTTTTTCTATACTATAACACGCATGTATTATACATATAAACCTTCCTCTTGAATCACTCTATCTATTGCTGAAAACTGCATTAAAATCAGTTTCGTAGTTTAAAAGATATAAGCGAACAAACGGAGATGGAAACTTTATTTTATACTATGCAAAGACAGGGGACAAACGAGCTTGCGGCTCACCTGATGGTAAGTGATTACCGCCGCCATTGAGCACCCGCAACATCAGGGGAATTGCAAGTTGTCGGCCTTTTAAGAAGGAATAAACTCTTTCTTGAAGGTTTCAATATCATATAGGTAACACCAATGTTGGAAGGTGATTCCACAATGATGATTAAACGCATACTATTTCCCGTGACTTCGCCTGCTTTTTAAAGATAAATAGTCTATGTCCAACCTCATCATACAGTCTATCTTCAAGCCCAATTTGATTATTTCAAGTTCAACCGTTTAGACGTAAACAGGCTGTGATGTGACGTGTCTGTTCGCCTATATCTTTTAAACTACGCAACGGATTTTAATGCAAATTTCAGAAATAGATAGAGAATTCAAGAGGAAGGTTTGTGTGTACAATACTTGTGTATTATAGTATAGAATAAGACGAGAAATTAAAAGATTTGTAATACATCCGTGCGAAGCCATAACGTGTCGCTAGTCATTACATAGTATAAAACAAAGTCGCTGTCGTTGTCTGTCCGTCCCTATGTATGCTGTTGGTTAGACATCCTAATTGTATTATCTGACACGTTACTATGAATTTGTGTTACATGATGCTTAAGTGTTCTTAGTTTGTCCCCAAAAATCATCATCAGAGTCATCAAATATAAGATTTTTATTAGTATACATGTCGTGTACATTTCAAGCGACTTTAGGTGTTTATTTGAATAGATAGAGTGATTCAAGAGGAAGGTTTATATGTATAATACATGATCCCACCCCGTGCTATATAAAAAAAATCGTAAAATCTGTCTGAATGCACAAAATAAAGTCACAAATCTATTGTAAGATGTATCAAGAATTACTCAAATGATAATTAGGACGCTATATAATAATAAATACATAGAAAACAGCCAGTTACAATGTAGTCAAATACAAATATGTTCTCAAAATAATAAACCGATCAGTGGGTCCCATAAATTGCAACTTTTTACCGAGACAGCCGTCGCATGTCGATACAGTGATAAGCGTTGTGCCTTTATGTCTATCTATCACGACATTATATTAATATGTCAGGTAAAACAAGACTCATTATCCGTACCACGTTCATGTCATGCTCCGTTGACGGTACCGTCTTAAAGAAGAAAAGGACGGCTCTCAATATCATACTGACAGTTTGTGTTGAAATATTTATTTATATTCTGTATTGTACCAGATGCAGAAAATATTCGATACTATTAAAATAATAATAATATCTCAGAACAATTCACATACCGCCATCTAGTGGAAAGCTAAGCAGAGGTTATGTTATAGGTACTTAGATAATTAATATTCAAAAATAGATATTTTTTTGTTAGTACATATTTTTTCTATAATATCTCAGGACTATTCTCACAGCGCTATTTAGCTATGCAGACAACCAATGAATACATAGATACAATTTTTTTTAAATATACATATATACATAGCTCCTGCTAACTAAAAACTCCAAGGTCGATCGACGAAGCGCCTATTGCTGGAGTCACAGGATCGCAGTCTCAGTCCACAGGTTCTACCAAGTTAACTTGAGACTAGATGGCGCTGTGTGAATTTTCCTGACAAATTATAGAAAAAAAATGTGTTAACAAAAAAATCAACGTTTTATATTCATTGTCTAAGTACCCATAACATAAGTTCAACTTAGTTTTCCACTAGATGGCGCTGTGTGAATTGTCCTGAGATATTATAGAAAAAAATGTATTAACAAAAAATCTGGTTTTATATTAATTATCTAAGTAACACAAGTTCTACTTAACTTTCCACTAGATGGCGCTATGTGAATTGTCCGGATATATTATAGAAAAAAAAATATAAAAAAAATCTGTTTTATATTACTTTCAAATTACATATAACACAAGCTTCGTTTAGCTTGCGACTAGATGGCGCTGTGTGAATTGTCCTGACTATAGATAAAATGTATTAACAAAATCTGTTT